ACTCAACCAGACACGCCACGAAACATTCCACGGGGGTGCGACTGGGTGTGGTCGTGCTGGGGTGTGGTCGTGCTGGGGTGTGGTCGTGCTGGGGAGTGGTCGTGCTGGGGTGTGGTCGTGCTGGGGGGTGGTCGTGCTGGGGGGTGGTCGTGCTGGGGTGGGCGGGGTGTGCTGGCTGGGCGTGGTCGTGCCACCCCGAAAACATCCCACGAGACACCTCACGAAACATTCCACGAGACACCTCACGAAACATTCCACGAGACACCCTTTGAAACATTCCACGAGACACCCCACGAACAGGCAACCACTCAACCAGACACGCCACGAAACATTCCACGGGGGTGCGACTGGGTGTGGTCGTGCTGGGGTGTGGTCGTGGGGGTGTGGTCGTGCTGGGGAGTGGTCGTGCTGGGGTGTGGTCGTGCTGGGGTGTGGTCGTGCTGGGGGGTGGTCGTGCTGGGGGGGTGGTCGTGCTGGGGGGTGGTGCGTGCTGGGGCGTGGTCGTGCTGGGGCGTGGTCGTGCTGGGGCGTGGTCGTGCTGGGGGTCGTGCTGGGGTGTGGTCGTGCTGGGGTGTGGTCGTGCTGGGGTGTGGTCGTGCTGGGGTGTGGTCGTGCTGGGGTATGGGGTCGTGCTGGGGTGGGGTCGTGCTGGGGTCTGGTCGTGCTGGGGTGTGGTCGTGCTGGGGTATGGTCGTGCTAGGGTGGGGTCGTGCATTTCGCTCGAGACATCCTGCCAAAATTCCAGGAAATCGTACAAAAACAAACAAATTAGTCGAACATCATCGAAATTCCTTCGCGCGGGGCGCTTTTCCGCGTCGCGGTCGGCTCTGCAAAACAAGCGTTTCGCTCGAGACATCCTCGGCAAACTCTGCGGAGCAAGCGTTTCGCTCGAGACATCCTCAACACACGAAAAAGTGGCCCGCACCCTGTGATTTATCGATCGGGATTTCAAAAACAAGCGTTTCGCTCGAGACATCCTCAAATTTTAATTCGCCGGCCTCCTTCGACCTCGTTATTTATCAGGGAAAAAATTCGCCGGCCTCCCTCAAGTTGGCACCGGGGGACAGGTTTACCTACTAAAAGAGAACCCTGGGCCTATGCCCTTTCCGGGAAAAACTCGACGGTCCGCGTGGATTTCTCGGATCCACGCTGGGGCCCCCTGGCAGCGCCTCCGGCGCCGCCCCTGGCGCGCTCCGCGCGCCGTTCCCGCGCTCCGAGAAATCCACGCGGACCGCCGAGTTTTTATGTTTATGCCATTCTTCGTTCCCCTATTCTACTCCTCTCGAGTTCCAGAACCATTCGCATTGAACACGGCACAACAAACATGATCGACCCACGAACCCAGAAAGGAATATAGAAATGTAAGGCATGGCAACGTTTCAAAGACACTTGATTGGGCGACGGGCAAATGCAGTGCTGAATGTACAGATCTTGATGTACTGTGCCGAGGGCTGTGCTATGCTGGCCGTGCTGAACTGCGATTTTCCATGCCGCGATTGTGCTCTATATAGCGTTATGGATCGAGTCCTCCCTGGCATCCGAGTCCTGACCGAACTGATCTGGATCTTAAGCTCGAGCTGCCTGAGCAGATGGTATCTGTCCCAGAACTAATCGGCAGAGGGGACATGCCAGGAGGACGCGCCGAGGAACGTCCCAAGGGACGCGCCAGGCGGCGTGCCAGGGGACGTGCCATGGGGACGCACCGCGGGACGTGCCAAGGGGACGCGCTACGGAACGTGCTAATGGACGTGCCGCGCGACGTGCCAGGGGACGCGCCGCGCGACGTGCCAGGTGGACTCGCCAAGGAACGCGCCAAAGAACGTGCCAAAATGCAATGTTGTATGTATCGATCTTGATGTACCGTGCCGACGGCTGCGCTGTGCTGGCCGTGCTGAACTGCGATGTTACATGCCGCGATTGTGCTCTATATAGCGTTGTGGATCGAGTCCTTTTTGCATCCGAGTCCTGACCGAACTGATCTGGATCTTAAGCTCAAGCTGCCTGAGCAGATGGTAGCTGCCCCAGAACTAATCGACAAGGGGACATGCCAGGAGGACGCGCCGCGGAACGTCCCAAGGGACGTGCCAGGCGACATGCCAGGAGACGTGCCATGGGCACGCACCGCGGGACGCGCCAAGGGGACGCGCTACGGAACGTGCCAATGGACGTGCACCGCGCGACGTGCCAGGGGGACTCGCCACGGGACGCTCCGCGGAAAGTGCCAGGCAACATGCCAAGCTGCAATGCTCAAGGTATCGATATTGATGTACCGTGCCGAGGGCTGTGCTGTGCCTGGGCGACCTGGACACGTGAAAACACGCGTTTCGCTCAAGACGTTCTCAGCACATCCTCACGCTAGACATCCGCCTGGGCAACCTGGACACGTGCAAACAAGCGTCTCGATCGAGACTTCCTCTGCAAATCCTCATGCTAGACATCCGCCTGGGCGACGAGGACGCGTGAAACCAAGCGTCTCGCTCGAGACATCCTCAACAAATCCTGGCGCTTGACCTCTGCCTGGGCAACCTGGAGGCGTGAAACCAAGCGTCTCGCTCGAGACATCCTCAAGACCTGGGCACGTGAAACCAAGCATTTCACTCGAGAGATCCTCTAAATTCTGCCCCCCAGGAGAGGACAATCTATAACACAAAACAAGCGTTTCGCTCGAGACATCCTCAACAAATTCTGAAAAACAAACGTTTCGCTCGAGACATCCTCACATTTTAATCCGCCGGCCCTCTTCCCACTCGTTATTTATCGCAAAAGAAATCCGCCGGCCCTCTTCCCGTCAGATCCGGGGGTAAACAGCTAAAAGAGAATCCGGGCCTGCGCCCTTTCCGGGAAAAACTTCCCTGTCACTTCCTGGGCCCACTGCGGCCAAGAACTTCTTTGGAGTTCGCATGTGGCCACGGCGGATCCGACGAGATCCGCTTAGCGTGTCGCTCCGCTCCGCGGGACGGGAGGCTCGGAGAAGCTCGGCACGTGGACGCCTCGGGACCGCGAAGTTGTTTTTTCTTGTCTCTTACTGCCGGTCGGCGGGCACGTCCGTTCTGCCAGGCAGAGGCCACGTCGAGTGCACAACAGCGGAGCGCCGACGCGCCCTGAATGCTCGCCAACCGCCCAAACAGCGCGCCGAGCGCACGCTGATCAGGAACAAGTGAACCGAGCGAGGGTGCCAGCTACGCTGAGGTCGGCCATGTCCCCCTACAGGCGGATTTTGGGCGAAAAATAAGACATAGTCAGACAATACACAACAAATATGCAAAAATACTTCAACATAGTCCCCAGACTATTTTTTGTTACTATTGTTGAATACTCCTCCTGTGGAGGGTCACGCCCGACTTAAAGCTACGCCCCAACGGCGTGTCAATAGGGAGGCAATGGACTCCTTACGGCGACGTGGACCGCGCGCCGCACCGATGCGCGGGTGGGTCAGAAGCCGGCGGTAGGAAAACCGCTCGGGGATACCGCTGCAAGCAAGATTCCCCGAATCAAGCCCTCGTCACCCGAATTCAAGTTTCGGGCCTGTGACGAAAGTAAGATGACTCGACAATCCCATGTGTCTCCAGTGAACGCAGATCTTGAGAACATCTGGTGAAATCCACGACGGAACAGGCCAAATAAAATCATCATACGGGGCGCCGGCCCACGGTGCCCGACCCCGTGCTCGCCGACACGAGAGAGGAGCGGCCCTGGGCAAGCGGGCCCCCCCCTGGGTGCGCGGCTGCCCGGGGGCCGCGAGGAGGGGACCCAAAACAACACGAGCGCGCGAGACGCTGCCACCGCGTCGCGTGCGGCGATCGGGTGGCCCCACGTGGGCCCGCACCAGGGGCCACCCTGGCGAAGGGTCGCTCTTACGCGTCGCCGACGCAGGGTCGCGGCCCATCGCGACTGGACAAAGCCAGGACGCAATGCTCTGGGTCTGGGGAGTCGCGGCGGCCCCTCGGCCAAGTCAGGGGGTCGTGTTGCATCCTCGGAGGACCTTGTCTGTCCCGTCGCGGCCCTATCCGCGTCGAATCCGTGTCGAATCCGTGTCGGACTCGTCGAATCCGTGTCGAATCCGTGTCGAGTCCGCGTCGATTCCGCGCCAAATCCGCGTCGAGTCCGCATCGAGCCCGCGTCGGGCACGAGAACATACACGAATATGTGTGGACAAGCGAGGTCCCCCCAAAATGCAACGTAAAGGACGAGGAGGAGGGGAACGGAAGGAGGGGGAGGAGGAGGAGAAGGAGGAGGAGGAGGAGGAGGAGGAGGAGGAGGCGGACGAGGAGGAGAAGGAGGAGGAGAAGGATGATGATGATGATGATGATGATGATGAGGAGGAGGAGGAGAGGAGGAGGAGGAGGAGGAGGAGGAGGGGGAGGAGGAGGAGGAGGAGGAGGAGAGGAAGGAGGGTAAGGCGGAGGAAGGGGGGGCTCTAGGGGGGTGACCCTCTCACTCTTCGTCCCCGTGGGCCTCTTCCACCTCCCCCTGGGAGAGGAGGAGAGAGGAGGAGTCAGGAGAGAAGCCATCATCATCATCATCATCATCATCATCATCATCATCATCATCATCATCATCATCATCATGATCATGATCATGATCATGATCATGATCATCATCATCATCATCATCATCATCATCATCAGCAGCAGCAGCAGCATCATCCTCATCATCCTCATCATCATCATCATTATCGTCGTCGTCATCATCAGCATCAGCATCAGCATCAGCATCAGCATCATCGTCATCGTAATCGTCATCGTCATCGTCATCATCATTATCACCACCATCATCATCATCATCATCATCATCGTCATCATCATCGTCATCATCATCGTCATCATCATCACCATCATCATCATCATCATCATCATCATCATCATCATCATCATCATCAGGGCGAGGTGAAGGAGAGACGGCGAGGAGGTGGAGGAGGAAAAGCCAAGCAAGGGAGTGAAGACAGGGAAGACAGAAGCTCCGGGCCCCTCTGGCCTGACCGGCCCCCCCCCCCCCGCGACCCGGCAGTCGCCCACGTGTGCGACCCAGATGGTGTCGGAGTCCTCCGCTGGCGGGCCGGGCCGGGCGGCATCGCACCCGGGCCGCCGATGCGGGGCCAGAGCTCTGGCGAGCAGTACGTTCTCGATCTGTGCCCCACCGGGCGTACCGCCCTGCTGCATGCGGCGGGAAGCGGCAGACCCTGGCGGCTCGAGACAGACAACTGGCGCGAGATGTGCTTGACCATCTCGGCGGGCTGGAAGACCCGGGGCCGTCAGACAGCGGATCGAGAAGAGAAGCCGGGCTGGGGAAACGGGTCCAGGGCCCTGGGAGACAAAAGCCCGAGACATGCTCCGAGATGTTTCTTTTGTCCAGTCCGCGGCCCTTACACTCCGCCGGAAGCCCGAGACATCCTCCGAACGGTCTTTGGATCAATCCGCGGACCCCGAACTCCCGACCCCTTGGGGGTGGCTTTGCGTCCCCGAGGTCCGCGGCGGCTTGTGCTGCAGAAAGGGCGCCCGACGGCAAGCCCTGGAGGCCGAAATCTGGGAGAAGCGCCGGGCTCAGCAGCAACAGCGGGGGGCACCCCTGTCCCCTTCGCTGCCCCGATGCGCAGCGCGCAGCCCGTAGCGACTTTATACGGAGTAATACGGAGCTCAATACGTAGACAGAAAACGCAGGTGACCTGCTCGCCATCGCTCGGACGTCCATTTCCCGTGCATTGTTCGGTTTCGTGCGTGCTTTTTTGCTCGATGGTCCAGGATCGTCCTCAATGGTTCTCGCTGAGAAAAAATGCACACGTCCGAGCGATGCCAGGCGTGATGTGTTCGCCAAAACGTGGACCAATACGCTGAGCCAACACGCAGCGTATCCCAACGAACGTTTCGAACACGGCACGCGTCGCGTGTCAAAACGGGCGTATCGAGGCAGCTGAGCAATCCCAGGCTTCTTGGGGGCTTCGACTGGGCCAGAGATTCGGGGCCCAACTCTGGGATATACGATGGGAGGGTGAGGGGGGCGGCACTCCTCGATGGGGGTGCATTCGAACAGCCCCCTCTGGGGGTGTATCCCAGGGCTTTCCCCCCTCCTTTCCTGAGCGGCCGAGGCCTTCGGGCGGAACTCGGGGCTTGGGCGAGAAACATCGCCTGCGACACAAGTCGTACGGTAGAGGGAAACAGTTACTGAACACTCCCCCTCCCCCCCAAACTCCAAGCTGGCACGCGCGGGGGAGACCGCGGTCGAGGTGCAACTCATCAGACCCACCACCAAATTTGAACATTGGGGGGAGGGGGAGGCGTTCACAGATGAATGTGGATCCTCATCTTCCTCGTGCGGCACCTTTATCCCAGAGAGGGGCCGGCGTGCGGCACACGTGCGGAGATCTCTCGTGCCGCCCCCGCGGGTGGCCAGCAGTCGACCCGCATATCATGAGTGTTGTGGGCGGAAAGGATGCTTGAGGGGCCTTGAGCGGCCGTGTCGGCAGTTTGCGGGCGGGGCGCGGCCAGCGACAGCTGCCAAGGACTGGAGTAGGGAATCGACTATAGAATTGATTTGCCCCCAACCTGAATTCCCTGTCGAATCCACCAAGAGATAAACGTAGCACTTTTCATGGCTTCGACGGCAGAAACCAACTTGGGGGCACATCGATTGTGTAGTCGAACCACTACTCGAAGGATGGGCCGAAGGGTAAGGATGCAAGGGCAACCTTGGAAAATTGCTCATCCATGCTATGCGGGTCGACTGCACGGCCTTCTGCGAAACCTGGCGCAAATCTGCTCTGGTGCCTCGCGGCGCCCACGGGCCGCCCAAGGTCGGTACTCGCGCCGACGCTGGCGGCCGCGCTCTGTTCTCCCAGCCCTCCCTTGGTTGGGTTATCGGTTTGGATAGAGCAGTGGGGTCGCTCACTCCCTTACTCTCCTCCTCGCCCCCCACCCGCTCTCCTCTCGGCTCTGTCTTCTCGCATCCCTCTTGGGGGCTGCGAAGTGTGAAACTGTCGCCACTTTCGAGAGTTGCTGGGGGAGCCCGCGCACTGGGCCCCACGCGGATCCGAACGGGACCTCGCCATCCTTGGGGGGGCTGCGAAGTGTGAAGCCGTCGCCACTTTCGAGGACCCAAACGGGACCTCGCCATCCCTGAGGGTCTGCGAGGTGACCCCGCGACCCACTTCGCGACCCGCCCGCGATCTACCCACATTGTTTTGACAGAAAAGTTGGCGCCTGCGGCGGGCTTCTTCAGAGCCTCGCAGACTGCCGACGACCCCTGTTGCCCACCGTCTTATCCGCAATTGCGGGGTGCTACGGTCGGGAATGGCGACACGCTACGTCTTGCGAGCAGATAGTGTCGCTACGCTCAGCGGGGCGGGAGGCTCGGAAAGGCTAAGGACGAGGACGCCCAGGGACTGTGAAGTGGATAGCGTGTCGCGCCGATCCGCGGCGGGCCAGAACCGGCGGAGCGACACGCTATCCAAACATCCCCGACCGTGCGTATCTGACAACGATGCAAACCATCACCTCCGAAAGTTCACACACACACACACACAAAAAACCCAAGGCTGGCGACATGCTCTGTTTGTGGAGCAGCGTTTCCCACTCGCGCTCATGGCCGATCTTCCACTGCGCGCAGCTGAGGCAATTACGTGCGCACAATGCTTCAAAAATTACCCTAGCAAAACACCCTGATAGCAGCAACTGTGACATGAGGGACCATTAAGACCTGCGGGACATGTGGGACCATCGCGACCTGCGAAACCTGTTGGAGCTGTGAGACCTGTGGGACCTGTGGGACATGCGGGGGGGTTGTGGGACCTGTGGGACCTGCGGGGCTGCGAAACCTGCGAGACCTCCAGGGCCTGCGGGGCCTGCAGGACCAGCGAGACTTGTTGGAAATATATGACCTGCGGGACGTCGACCTGAGGGGCCTGTCGGCCTCCTCCCCAGCGTCCTCCTCGTCATCCTCCTCGTCTTCCCCCTTTCGCCGGACTGGCATCTGCTGTGCAGATCCATCTTCGTGATTATCCTCGCCCTCCTTCTTGCGACGAGCGGACCCAAGCTGCTAGGCGTGGTGTTCAAGCCCTCCTCCTCACCACGACTCCCGACGTCGTTTTGCTGTTTGGTTTGAGACGTGGCCCCCAAGGGGTCCTGGGACCGGTGTTTTATCCCCGAGTCGTTGTTGACAGTCTTTTTTTTGCCTTGTCGCCATTTCGTCTCCGCTCCAATGCGTCACTAGCCACGGGGCCTCAACCGCCACCCCCACAGCTCCGGACCCGGGTACTGCGAGGGCTTTGGTTTTGGCCGCAGTGTCACCGAGTTGTTGTTGACAGTCTTGGTGCCCAGCGTGGGCCTCCAGAGGACGCACACGGTCAAACAGCTTCCGTCGTGCTTCCGCTCCCGACGCGAGCACGTCTGGGGATGGGAGGCGCTCAGTGCCAGCGCTGGCCGGAGCTCCGCCTCCTCCGCTCGGCTGGGCGCAGGAGTGACCCTGGAAGAGAGGTGACCTTTGGTGCGCGGCGCGGGGGGCGCGAGAGGGGGCCGAACCCAGGCGCGCACCCCGCCGCTGTCGCACCGCTCTCGGCGATCGGGGGGGCCCCCATGAGCTCGCGCCAAGCCCAAACCCCCGACGTCATGACTTTTTCGTCACTCCGACCCTCAGAGGTCTCGACCCATTCCCTGGACTGGCTTTTTCATCCTGAGTCGTTTTTTGACGGCCCCGAGGGCCGGTAAAGGCCTTCAGAGCCGAGAATACGGAAAAACCTTCCGTCGTGATATGTTCATTGCCCGAGGGGGGCTGGGAAGGTCACTCCAGCGAAGGGTCACGCTCACGTGTAGTCGCTCCTCCTCCTCCTCCTCCTCCTCCTCCTCCTCCTCCTCCTCCTCCTCCGCATCCTCCACCTCCTCCACCTCCTCCTCCTCCTCCTCCCCCTCCTCCGCCTCCTCCTCCTCCTCCTCCTCCTCCTCCTCGATCCTCCTCCGAGCAATGGCGGGCGGGCCCCCGGGTCCCACAGGCAAACGGTGCAGGCCGCCCCCGCCAGGCGGACGTCCAGGGCCCCGACCGCGCTGTGATGCACCTGGGGGGAGGCCATCATGTTGAGGCCGAGGATTAGGTCGGGCATGTCCTCCTTCTCCTCCTCCTCCTCCTCCTCCTCCTCTCCTCCTGCTCCCCCTCCTCCTCCCTCCTCCTCCGCCTCCCTCCTCTCTCCTCCTCCGCTCCTCCTCCTCCTCCTCCTCCTCCTCCTCCTCCTCCTCCTCCTCCTCCTCCTCCCCTCCTCCGCCCCCTCCCCCTCCTCCTCCTCCTCCTCCTCATCCTCCTCCTCCTCCTCCTCCTCCTCCTCCTCCTCCTCCTCCTCCTCCTCCTCCTCCTCCGCCTCTCTCCTCCTCCCCTCCTCCTCCTTCTCCTCCCCCCCCCTCCTCCTCCCCTCCTCCTCCTCTCCTCCTCCTCCTCCTCCTCCTCCTCCTCCTCCTCCTCCTCCTCCTCCTCCTCCCCTCCTCCTCCTCCTCCTCCTCCTCCTCCTCCTCCTCCTCCTTCCTCCTCCTCCGTCCTCCTCCTCCTCTCTCCCCTCCTCCTCCCCCTCCTCCTCCTTCCTCCTCCTCCTCCTCCTCTCCTCCTCCTCCTCCTCCTCCTCCTCCTCCTCCTCCTCCGCCCCCTCCTCCTCCCTCCTCCTCTCCCCCCTCCTCCTCCTCCTCCAACTCTCCCTCCCTCCTCCTCCTCCTCCCCTCCTCCTCCTCCTCCTCCTCCTCCTCCTCACCACCACCACCACCACCACCCAACAACCACCACACCACCACCACCACCCACCACCACCACCACCACCACCACCACCACCACCCTCCCCTCCTCCTCCTCCTCGTCCTCGTCCTCGTCCTCCTCCTCCTCCTCCTCCTCCTGAGGACCTGGACGTGGACAGCGTGTGGCGCCGAGGCGTGGAAGGCCACAGCTGGCGGCGCGACGCGCTGAGCCAAAGATCCTGACCCTTGCTATCCTCGGAGATCTCTCGAGTAGGGTTACATCGGGCATGTACTCCGACTGGCGGGTTTTGTTCGACAGAAATGGTGAATTAATACCCCCAAATCCTCCTCCTCCTCCTCCTGTCCTCGTCCTCGTCCTCCTCCTCCTCCTCCTCCTCCTGAGGACCTGGACGTGGACAGCGTGTGGCGCCGAGGCGTGGAAGGCCACAGCTGGCGGCGCGACGCGCTGAGCCAAAGATCCTGACCCTTGCTATCCTCGGAGATCTCTCGAGTAGGGTTACATCGGGCATGTACTCCGACTGGCGGGTTTTGTTCGACAGAAATGGTGAATTAATACCCCCAAATGGCTACATATAGTCAAAATCGTCCCAATTCTATGTTTTACTATCTTTGAAAATTCGTCCTGTAGAGGGACACGCCCGACTGAAGGCGAGGATCGAAGTAACAACGCCTCCGATAGAGGCCAGACCACAAGAAACCTTCCACAAGAAACCCAACCCTGAGACCCCAGGACGCCCTCCATTGATCGTTTGGTGTGGGAACGTCACGCTTTCCATTAAAAACCATCGAAACTCAAGGAGCCCAGAGCACCCTGGAGGCAGGCAGGGTTTTTCTTGGCATTAGTCTCCACTTTATCTGGAGGCCGAGGATCGAAGTGGCCACGCCTGGAGCCAACCCGTATATGCAAGGGCATTGGAGGCCCACGTGGACGTTTTCCGAGCGAGGTTGGCCAGCGACAGTCGCTGAGGATGGGCCGAAGGGGCAGGGATGCCAGGGTCCCCTTGGGAAGGTTGTCCATCCTGACTATGCGGCTTGACTCTAGGTCCAGACCTACTCGCGTCGTGCACAACATTACGGCAACTGGTGTTTGACTGTTTTCGGCCTGCGGGGGGCCCTGGGTCCCAGGGCCGCCCCCCCGCAACAAACACTTCGGGATGAAAAAGACCCGGCCCTGGGAAAAGGGTCGGGCCTTGTGGGGGCCCCGTTCTGAAGAGATCAAGACATCGGACGTCTGGGTTCACCACCCTCAGATCTGCTTCTTGCCCAGCTCTTCGGGGAGAACAGGGGGACAGGGCAAGGGCACGGAGCACGCGAGCCGCCGCATTTCTGCTAACTCTGGCAGCTGCCGAGCGCACGCAGCCTGCCCAGCCTTCCAGGCCCGAAACAAAAGCCCTGGGCCCGGGCAGCGAGGCAGATGCGTGTGCCACGGAATTGGTGGCCGAACGGCGCCTCACGAGCCCTGGATCTCGGTGGACGTAGTCTCCTGGCCAGGAGCCGATGTCCGCCAAGATCTGGGACCGAACTGGGCCTGTGGGGGCATTGCGGGGTCTCTCCTACAACGCCAGGGAGCAGGACCAACTGCCACTCCGAGACCTGCTTGTCCCTTTCTCTGCCAGTCTCGGCCCTCCTCTTCTTCCTCCTGCGTGCCCCCCTCATCCGTGATCCAACCTTCACATCCTCACTTGTTCTCCTCCCCCCTCATTCTCATCCTATCCTTTCCTCTTCCTTCTCCTCCAACCGCCCTCCCCCGGGCCGATTCTGGCGTGCTTCCGCTCGTTCCGAATCGTGCTCCCGCTGCAGCGCTGGCCTCATTTCCGCGCTTCCGCTCGTTTCGACTCGTGCTCCCGCTGCAGCGCCGGCGTCATTTCCCGTGCCATGCCACGGCATGCAATGCAATGCTAGGTTGATACTACGCTTCGCGGTGCTCGTCTACGCCACGCCATGCCGTGCTCTACAAGGCATCGCGTACCCTTTCGGGATCATTGCCCTGCTCGACATCCGACTGTGCGAGTAGAGAGGGGATCTGTGCCATGGTAAGGGATGGGAGGGGGGAGGGGGGGTAGGGGTCAGATATGACGCGAGCGCTCCTAGCTTGCCTTCCCCCCCCCCCTCCTCCTCCCTCCCCCCTCCCTCCCCTCCTCTCCCTACCTCCCTCCTCCTCCTCTCCCTCCTCCTCCTCTCTTCCTCCTCCTCCTCCTCCTCCTTTCTCCTCCTTCTCCCTTTCTCCTCCTGCTCCTGCTCCTCCTCTTCCCCCTTCTCTCCTAGCTCCCTCCCCCCTTCCCTCCCTCCCTCCCCCCCTTCCCTCCTCCTCCCTCCTCCTCCCTCCATCCCTTCCCCCCTCCCTCCTCCTCCTCATCCTCATCTTGCTCGCCCCTGCTGGTGGCCTGGAAGGATCTACGTAAGGCCGAAGCAAGGCTCGGCCACCGAAGCTGGGCCTCTCCCCAGGAAGACACACGAGCGGACGCTGCATGCGCTCCTGGATAACGGGAGGGAGGAGGAGGAGGAGGAGGAGGAGGAGGAGGAGGAGGAGGAGGAGGAGGAGGAGGAGGGAGAGGAGGAGGAGGAGGAGAAGGAGGAGGCGGCGGAGGAGGAGAAAGAGAAAGGGGAAGGGGCGGGGATTATAGGAGGAGGGTGATAGGAGGAGGAGGGAGGAGGAGGAGGAGGAGGAGGGGGACGAGAAGGAGGAGGAAAAGGGGATTAGATGGCCAAGACAAGTTCCGTGTGCGATTGGCTCAGGATGCGTGTGGCAGACTCACGGAGTTTCCAGCGGCCCTCTGACAGTCCTACTCGGCCTCTCCCCACAATGGCACACATGTGGACGCAACGTGCACTCGTGGAGGAGGAGGGGGAGGAGGATGAGGAGGAGGAGGAGGAAGAGGAGGAGGAGGAGGAGGAGGAGGAGGAGGAGGAGGAAGGAGGGGGAGGGGGAGAGGAGGAAGAGGAACAAGAGGGGGTAGGAGGAGGAGGAGGAGGAGGAGGAGGAAGAGGAGGCGGAGGAGGAGGGGAAGGGACGGTAGATTATAGGAGGAGCATTATGGGAGGAGCAAGACGGGGAGGTGGAGGAGGAGGAGGAGGAGGAAGAGGAGGAGGAGGAGGAGGAGGAGGAGGGGGAGGAGGAGGGAGAGGAGGAGCAGGAGGAGGAGGAGAAGCAGCAGCAGCAGCAGCAGGAGGGGGAGAGAGCTGGCTGGACGTAAAAAAACATGCCAAAAGTGTGCGACCCCCTTGGCGGCGCACGTCCGCACCGAACACGGGGGGTAGATCGTTACAATTTCTTAGAAAGGCAAACATATGAAGTGCAGTCTATGCAATGCAATCTATGTGGTGCAATATGTGCAGTGCAATCTATGCGGCGCAATCCAAGTGATGCAACTGGTCCGATGCTGTCTATGTGGTGTAAGCCATGCGGCAGCGGCGACTGGCGGCGGCGGCGACAATCAGCGCGACAGACCGCCAGCCAGGCCCAGAAGCGGCAGCGACGGACGGCGACAGCGACAGCATCTGCGGCAGCCGCCAGCAAGACCCAGAAGTAGCGGCGACGGACGGCGGCGATGGGCGGCGGCGGCGACAACAAGCGCGGCAGACCGCCAGCATGGCCCAGACGACGGGCGGCGACGAGGCGGCGGGGCGGCGACCGCGACAACATGGACGCCAGACCGACCAGGCCCAGACGACGGGCCCGACGAGGCGGCGACGGGGCTGCGACGACCACAACATAGCCGCCAGACCGACCAGGCCCAGACGGCGGGCGGGCGACGAGGCGGCGACGGGGCGGCGACTGCGACAACACAGCCGCCAGATCCACAACCAGGACCAGCTCCTGCGAAAAGAATTAAGACACTGTTTGGGGAACACGTAAGACCCCCGAAGTGCCAGCAAAGCCCTCCCCGGAACGCTCTGAGAGCGCCTCTGAACGCTCTGGGACGATGTGTTCTAGCCCGAGATGGGGAAGGAGGCGAACCCAGACAGGCGAGGTCTCGAGCTGTTCAGAATGCGCGGTCCTCAGAAAACCCACGCCTTTCCCAAAAACGGATTGTTCATCGCGAGTCGTCGTTTGACGGCGCTGGGGGTGCGGCGAGACCCCCCAAAGGCAAAAAATGGCCAAAGGCCCGGCGCCGTGATTGTTTCTCGACGCAAGGATGTCTGAGAATCGATCGGGGAGACGTACGACTCGGGTTTGGAGGACTCGGGCTGTCCTGCCGAGGCCGTCAGGAACATGACGAGACCCAGCCAGAAATCTGACGCGAACGATCCCGCTGCAAGCGTGCCACGACAACTGGTGGACCGACAAAACTCTCGACGGGCCCGTCAAAAAGCGCGTGCAAACCCGAGTTCTGGCGGACTCGAGTCTTGGGCTGGGCTCACGGAGGCCTCCTCCCTAGATGGGGTCCGAGTAGATGGGGTCGAAGGGATCGCGCCGCATCGCCAATGTATCGCCGATGTATCAGCAATGCATCGGCGATGCATCGGCGACGTCGGTGTGAGGAACCACGGGCTACACATCGAACCGCATCGCCGATGCATCGGCGATGCGGCGCGATCCTCCGACCCCATCTACAGTCGGCCCGTATCATAAGGATGCGCGATCGGGATTGAAGAGCCTTGGACGCCCATTTCGAAGCGTCTCGAGCGGGGCGCGGCCAACGAAAGCGGCCAAGGATGGACCAGAGGAGGCAAGAACGCATGGGGCACCCCTGGGATGCCCAGCCTTCCTGTGTGCGGATGGACTGTGCTCCGACCCCATCTGGGAGGCCCAGCGGGCTCAAGAGGATCGGGGGGGGCCAAGAGGGGGGTGTCCAAGAGGGGGGGGTGCAAATCATGACCAGCAGCATGTGCGCGGCCCAGCGCGGGGGCCAGGGACGTAATGAAATAAGAAGAGGCGCCATGAAATCTGGGGAGATATCATGGCCCCCGCCATGATATCCAACCCCCCCTAGTCATCACACCCCTCTTTTCCGCCGCGAAACCTGGGGAGACATCGTGGCCCACGCCATGAGATATCCCCCCCCCCTGGTCCTCACCCCCCTCTTTGCCGCGGGCGGTGATCGCGGCCGCCCAATCCCCCCCCGGGGCGGCGCCGCGTTGAAGGCCGCGCGGAGCGCCGCCGGGGGGTCGGAGCAGCGCACCTGGCCGCGCTGCGGAGGGGGCGCGCGCCGCGCGGGGCCCTCCCCGCAGGGCGCGCCGCCGTCGTGGGCGAGCCGCCGCCCCGCGGGGGGGCGCCGCGGAGGCCCCGTGGGCCCGGAGCGGCGAGGCGAGGTCTGGTTCCGGCAGGGCGACTTCGGCGGCTGCTGGCTGAGCAGGGCGCGGCCCTCCTGGCATGCCTGCGGCTCGGCCTGCCACGAGGAGGGCTCTTATAGAACCCAGGCGTGTGCTGAGAGCAGCACAGTGTTCTCAGAACAGGAACCCGATGTGTCGAAACAGGACAGCTCCGACCGGGAATGCTCTCAGACCATCTCGTGCAAACCACTATTTCGGAGAAAAGGTTCTTAGAACATTATTTGGAGGTCCTATTGTCAAACCAAGACGCTTCGCCACTGCTTCAGCTGGGGCGAAGCCGACCTTGTCCAACGAACCCTTTGCAGCCTCTGGATGCAGCGGCGTCACGCCCAGACCTGAGTCAAACCTGGGAAAGTGGTGGCTGCGGCCTGCAAAATTGGCGCCACGTCCGTTGGCAGGGAAGCTGGGATCTCTGGCCGACCCCTGGGTCAGGGACAACGAGAGGGGGGGACCAGCTCCCGGGGGGAAACATCGACCCAGAAGCGGCGATACATAGCCGATGCGCCCCCGATGGCGAATCCGCACGTTCCTGGGCGGGGTGGGCTGTCGGGCCCCCTATCGGCGATCACTGGGCGATTGGGTGTCGATTGATCCCCCCCTGAGCCCATCCCTGTCTGCACAGTTTCACCCGGGGCCGTAGGCGACCCGAGGAGGAGGAGGAGGAGGAGGAGGAGGAGGAGGAGGAGGAGGAGGAGGAGGAGGAGGAGGAGGAGGAGGAGGGAGAGGAGAGGAGGAGGGGGAGGGGAGATGGAGGAGGGACGAGGAGGAGGAGCAGGAGGAGGAGGAGGAGGAGCAGGAGGAGGAGCAGGAGGAGCAGGAGGAGGAGGAGGAGGAGCACGCCCTGCTCTGCATGCGCCGTCTGCCTAATCTGCTCGCCGCCACGCCGAAGTCGGCCTCGCGCTGCTCACTTTTTCCATCACTGCCCTATCGTTGCCCCTGACCCCTGATGGCGCCGAAAGCTATTCTTGGGGGCTGTCCCATCGCGACCCTATCCGCGACGAGTCCGTGTCGAATCCATGTCGGGTTCATCGGATCCGTGTCGAATCCGTGTCGAGTCCGCGTCGAATCCACGCCAAATACGCGAGTCGAGTCCATCTCGAGCCCGCGTCGCGCCCAAGAAAAGACACCAGTTTCAGGGACAGGCGAGGACCCCCGAGAAGGCAACGTGACCCACCCGCTCCCCCCTCCATACGGTGGGGGCGTTGGTTGAGAAATGTGCCCAGGAGGCTTAAGACCCTGGAGGATTCCTTATCTGATGTGGGTGGTGGTGATATCCACGGCCAATGCACGATTGGAGTTCCACTTCCTTCCAGACTCTGGATTCCTTATCTAAGGCTTCCTTGTCCAATGCCCCCTCCACGCACGTACACTCGCCAGCGTCCAACGACAAAACGCATCTCCAAGAGCGACGGCCGGCGTGAGCCGCTGCGTCGTGCTGGCCGCAATGAGAGGCGAAACGAGCTCGGAGCGCAGCGCTCGAGCAGCCTCAACGAGGGACAACCAGTGCGTGCACGATGCAGGGCGACAAAATCTGCACATGGCCACTGCCTCCCGGCCAGGCCCATACGCCGCGCCCTCCCGGCTTGGCCAGGAGGGCGAAGACACAGCTCCTGCGCTCAGGATGGGCCTGACAAAGGGAGCAGTGGACATGCGCAACATTTCGTCGCCCGACGAGGAGAAAGAGATGGGCGAAACAGACTGGACTGGAAGAGAAAGCCCGCCAGGGAACACGATAGTGCACAACGGCAAGCATACCCCGGAACCACCCACCTCCTTCATCATCGTCCTGCTCCTCCTCCTCCTCCTCCTCCTCCTCCTCCACCTCTTGCTCCTTCGCTCACTGCGCCTGAAATCGAGCACCCCTGGTTTAATCGGAGTTCGATCGTATGCTTCCCGTGGCGGCATGGTCATGTTCTGCGTTGGCGGCTCGAATGAAGCATTTGTCAATGCAGATCACGCGTGTCCGAATCTCTCGCGAAGTGTAGATGCTTCGATCATCTGGGAAAGAGGGGATTGCGTGTGCAAGCCTTCCTCGCCAGCCTGGGAGGATCATCCAAGAGCAAAACACATATAAGTATGTTTTGGTGGACAGGCGCGGCGCGATCCTTGGGTGACGCGACGTCATCGTCGTCGTCGTCATCATCGCCTTCGACGCCACCGCCGTCGCCGTTGTCGCCGTCGTCGTCGTCGTCGTCGTCGTCGACGTCGTCGTCGAACCGCGAGGCGATGAAAGTTCGACCTCCGTCCCCGCTCCGAGGCCGTGGTTGGTGTGAGAGCTCCTGCTGCGCTCCAGACCATGACACGAGCAACAGAGCCAGGTACGAGCACCCGAGGCTTAGGTCGGGCATGTCCTCCTACAGGCGGATCGTGGCAGGACAAAGGAGATCAAACCATAATCAAAACAAGTGACAAGAGCACGAAGTATCGTCACAACACTATATCATTTCCATTCTTGATTACTCCTCCTGTAGAGGAACATGCCCGACTTGACACGAGGCAGAGGAAGCAGTGCCCCCCCCAAGAGTTGCAGATCGTCACAGGGGGTCAGTGGGGAAGCACATAGAAGGACGTAATGGAAGACAAGGCCAGGCCGAGGATAACTTGGGGCAAGGATGCATCGGGAATCCCTGAGTTCCGGCGGCTCTGGAGGATGCCTCGGGCGCCGCGGCCTTCTCAGAGCGCTCCGGCACGCTCTGCGAGCGCTCTGGAGCGCTCTGGAACGGCTTGGGTCCTCGTCCCCGCCCCGCCCACCGTGCTGTCAGCCCCGCGCGGACGAGCCGCATGCGCAGCGATGGCTGGAGAGGAGGCGGGGGAAGAGATCGTCTGCGCAGCGGCTCGCGGAGGGGCGCGGGGCGCCAGCGAGGGGCTCCGGAGCACGGCGCGCGGCATCTCCTCGGGGGGGGGGGCGGGCACGGCCGACGGAGGGCATCCGGGCTCCGCGGCCTGGGCGCGCGGGGGGGCCTCCACTTAGAGCGGAGGAGGAGGAGGAGGAGGAAGGAGGAGGAGGAGGAGGAGGTTGCCGCCGACGCCGCCGACGCGTCCCGCCAGGGCCCGAGGGCCATCCAGGGCCCCCGGCTGCTTACGTGCGTCTGTGCTTTCCATGTCCCGTCAGCTCTCGTGGGCAGGGCTGCTGCATGGGCTGGCCAGGATGCGCGGAGCGTAAGCACCCGTGCAACTGTGCAGCGTCAGGTGGAGGCGTGGGAGGGGGGGGAAGGGAGAGGAGGGGCACGGGGGGATCTGGAGGGGAACTGTGGCAAAGGGAGAGGAAGGGGAACGGAGGAGGGGGGAGGATAAGGGGGAGGAGAAGGGGGAGGAGGGGGAATGACGGAGGGGGAGGAGGAGAGCGAGGAGGAGGGGGAGGAGAAGGGGGAGGAGGGGGAACGGAGGAAGGGGGGAGCAGAAGGGGGAGGAGGGAGAAGGGAGGACGACGGGGAGGCGGAGGGGGGAAGCGGAGGAGCGGGAGGCATGGAGGAGCAGTGGGAGGGGGGGCGGGGGGAGCGCGAGCCAGGGGTTCCGAGCACGAGCTCCTCCACCGAGTGCCTCCCCCACGTCCCCTCGCAGAGAAGGGCCCCCGCCCCCCTCCCCCCCTCCGCCTCAACCCCCACCCCCAGTCCCTCCTCGTCCTCCCCCTGCTTCTCCTCGCTCCCCTGCTCTCCCTCGCCCCCTCGTCGGCTACACGCAAGAGTGACCCCAGGCAAGGGTGGTCTTAAGTGCGCGGCCCAGGGGGGGCCCTGAGGGGACATCGCCAGGCGCGCGAGGAGCCGCTGCTATCGCCTCACATTCGGGGATCGGGGGGGCCCGTGGGGCCCGCACCAAAGGTCACTCCGGCGAAAGGTCACTCTTACGTATAGCCGACCATATCCCCCCCCCAGGAAAAGCGCCCGCCGCGACAGCACAACCGAAAACGGGCCGAACCAGCAGAAGAGCCGAGGCCGACCGCAACCGACAGGCCGCAAGCAGCCAGCCAGAGGGGCGCAGCGTCGCGGCACGGACAACAACGACCGACCGAACCCACCCGACGGAGCGCAGCCGCCGAGAAGCAGGCGCCCCGGCGGAGCCGCGCACACCCTTGGCAGCCCCTTCTGTCCTCGGCCTCTCCCCTGCCTTCTCCACCTCGCCCTCCTGCTTCGCCTTGCCCCCCTCGTGCTGCCCTCAGGTCGGGCATGTCCTCCAAGAGGCGGACTTTGGACGAACAGTTAAAAATAGTCAAACAACATACCCCCAAATGGCGAAACATAGTCGAAACATCTTCCCCTGACTGTTTTATGACTATTTCTTGAAAATTCCTCCTGTAAAGGGACACGCCCGACTTAATGCCGCCCCTGAGCCCCGATCAGGCGGCATCTCTTGGAGTCCAAATCGGAATCCGAAGCCAAATCGAATCAGAATCGGAGGCCACCGAACTCGAATCGAAACGAAGCGGGGGAATCGAAACGAGCCCTGTCGTGCTGCCCCCCTCATGCTGCCCCCGAGCCCCAAGCAGGTGGCATCTCTTGGAGGGCCCACTTGCTCCGTTCCGCCGCTCTCTGCCGTGGCAGAGCGCCGCCCCGGCCTCACACGCCTGTCCGCCCGGGCACTCCTCCGAGGAGGGGCAGGACAGCAGCTCGACCCCCCGAAGGCGACGCCTCTCTCGAGTAGGGGATCGACTGCAGAATTCACTTGCCCCAGACGTGGTTCCCCGCCGAGTCTACGAGCGAGTGCCCAGAATGATCCACGGAGCATTCTACGTTCCTCCGGGGAAGGCAAAACAACAGCTCGATCCCTCGGAGGCGACGCCTCTCTCGAGTAGAGGATCGACTACAGAATTCAGTTACCTCAGACTTGATTGACTTGATTCCCCGCCGAGTCTGCGAACGACTGCGTAGAACGATCTACGGAGCATTATACGTTTTTTGTTCTATATGTATGTGTTTAACAGAGAGGCTCGACGAACAAATCAATTCTGGGGTACATCAACTCTGCCGTCGATCCCCTGCTCGACTCTTCTGGAGCGCCCCCTGTGCCCCTCCCTCCCTCACTGCCTCCCTCCCTCCCTCCCCCGACCGGGGCGGAGGAGCCGCACGCTCGATTCCTCGATGGCGTTGCCTCTTCTGGGGCGCCTTGCATGGCCCTCCCCCCCCTCTTCGAGCAGGGGATCGACTACAGAGTGGATGAGCCCCCAGATTGATTTCCTCGTCGGATCCACAAGCAAGACGTAGCATTCTTCATGGACTCGACGGAAAACAAGCCAACTCTGGGATCAATGGATCCTGTAGTCGATTCACCACTCGACCTCTGGCCTCGGTGTTCGGGTCGCAACCTGGGTCCTCGGCGGCCGCTGGGCACAGTGCGGGCACCCCCGGGAGCGTTCTCGGTGAGGTGCAGCTGCAGGAAAGCCTCCCCCCAGTCGAGGAGACACCCAAGAGGAGGCGGAGGAGGGGGAGGCGGCGGCGAGCGAGGGGGGAAGCGAGAAGGAGAAGGCCTTCTCAGAAGCTTCGGGAGGCCCCCCCCACCTTCTGAGAAGTTTTCGAAGCCTTCCCCGAAGGCCGAAGGCAAATCTCCTCCGAACGGGGCCTCTGAGAAGTCCCGCCGCCTTCTGAGGAGGCCTCCTCCTTCCCACTTTCCCCCCCTTGCTCGCCGCCGAGACTCAAGAGTGAAGGGGCCCCAGGACACACAAATCAATACACACAAATAAAAAAATATTCCCCATACTTTCGCATATTTGTAGGACTCTGTCTTCCCCCCACTTCCCATGTTTTCCCATATTTTCTGGGGAATCGAAGATTACTTGTGTCTGTGTGTGTGTGTTTCTTTTCCTCCTGAAAGAGGAGCCGGCGCGGCGGCGTGTCCCGCGCCACCAGCTCCTCCAGCCGGCGCGCCGCGTGGGGCTGCCCGTGGCCGTTGGCCACGCCCAGCAGCGTGAAGCGGCCGCCCCGGGCGACGAAGAGGCGCCCGTGGCTGGAGTCCTGTGGGGGCCGCGCCGGCCCGCGCACTTTTCTCTGATGATGTCTGGACTCTGGCAGGTCCGCTTGCCTGGCACGTGGCTCCTCCCGAGGGTGGGGGGAGAGGAGGCGGGGGGGGGTCGCAGAAGAAGAAGAAGAAGAAGAAGCAACAAACAGAAGACGAATAGTAATAATAATAAGAAGAAGACGAAGACAACGAAGAAGAAGAAGAAGACGAAGAAGAAGACGAAGAAGAAAAATAAAGAACGCCGCAGACACAAACTTCTGGCGCTCCGCGCGAACCCCTGAGCTTCTGTGCTCATGCCACTTCTTGTCCCCCCGAATCGGGGCTCGGGGGGGTTCTGCGGGGCTCGGGGGAGGGGGGGGAAGCGCCTCCTCCTCCTCCTCCGCCTCCTCCTCCTCCTCCTTCCCCTCCTCCTCCTCCTCCTCCTCCTCCTCCTCATCTTCCCTCCCCCTCGGTCTCCACCCCGTGCGTGGAAGGACAACTCACAAGCCGCCGAGCAAACGGATGAGCACTCTGAGCACTCGCTTAGCCACTGCGCTGTAGTGAGCTACTTGCCTGTGCCTGCCTGAAGCGGACCTCTTCCAGCGCCTGCACGTAGTCCCAATAAGGGACTCGTTGGGAGAACATGCAATCCGTCCCGGATTCAAACATTGTGTCGACATCGGGAGATGCACCACCTCGCGAACTTTCGTTGTGAGCTTCAACGGCAACTCCCGACGACCTCTCGCGCACTGGCGGCACTGCTGATAGTTCGCACTATCACGAACGCAACACGGATGGATGCTTGTTAATGTTCCCACTCGGCATGAACATGGGCTTTTCGCCGAACGTCCCGCACAGCGCGTGCAAATCACGAGCCACAGAAGCCATGCGGCTACCAGATCCAGGACCGGCCAGGCACCGTCCTGCAAGTTCTGCAAGACAACGGATGCGCCCCTCGTTGCGGCCGCTTCGCACAGCCTGGCCGTGAAGATGCGCTTCGCTCCGCCCAGCCGTCCCGTCGGAGACTGGAGAGCAGCAGGCGAGGCAGCCTGTGCCCGCCAGTTGTGGCCCCTCTCAGGAGGGGGGACGGCGGGACCTCGCGGCGGCCCTCCTCCTCCTCCTCCTCCTCCTTGTCCTCCTCCTCCTCCTCCTCCTCCTCCTCCTCCTCCTCCTCCTTGTCCTCCTCCTCCTCCTCCTCCTCCTCCTCCTCCTCTTCCTCCTCCTCCTCCTCCTCACCCAACTTGTGGCAGTTCTCGGGAGGGGGGACGGCGGGACCTCGCGGCGGCCAAGGGGGCAGGGGCGGCGGGACCTCGCGGCGGCCAAGGGGGGGGGCTCCTTGTCCCCGTCGAGGGTGCTGCCGGGGAAGCCGAGCCCGACCGAGGGCGCCGCGAGGCTGCCGAGCCTGAGGGCGGAGGGGTGGCGAGGCGCGCTGGGGCCGCCCGGCTCCTGCTGCCTGCGCCGTCTCCCGCTCCGGCTCCTCCTGCCCAGTCCTCCTCCCCCCTCACCTCACTCTCTCCCTCCTCCTCCTCCTCCTCCTCCTCCTCCTCCTCCACCTCCTCCTCCTCCTCCTCCTCCTCCTCCTCCTTCTCTCCTCCTCCTCCTCCTCCTCTCGCCCACCGTCCTCCTCCACCCACCGTCCTCCGCCATGCCCCCCCGCGCTCGTTCCCCCCCCCCCCCCCCAACCCTCCCAGAGCGCCACTGCTCCCTTCTCCCCCCTGACCCTCTCCCCCCCCACCCTCGGTCCTTCCTTCCTGTTCTCTCCCCCTCCTCCGCGCTTTTGCGCCACACCATTCGACCGAACCGAAGCGACCGGACGCAACCGACCGCGAAGCAGCCAAACGGATCGAACCACGGACACCCTTGCCTTGCGTCTCTCACCCTCCTCCCGTCTTTTCCTCCCACCCCCCCTTCCAGGACGGCACGCCAGGGACGCCAGATCGCATGGCCTGCGGACGGCAAGGCAGCCACTATGCGCGGCGGAGAGCACTGGCCGCAGCCTGCGAGATGCCCCCGACGGGCCTGATTAAAATGTATCCGAGGCGGCTCATCCACACAGAGCCCCGAAGAGGGTACAAAATACCTTGCCGATGCTTCAAGACGGCCTCCAAGCCGGCCCGACCTCTCCTCAAGATGGCCCCCAAAACTCACCTAGACGGTCACCAGACGCCCACGAAATGGTTCCCTCCCCGTGTGAGCGAACCAAAGCGCCAGGACTGGCAAATCCTGGTGTTTAGCATTGGTTCGCACCAGGGATCTTTACGAGCGTTCGTCATAGCACATTCAACGCATCACTTAGCAAGGAGCGAACTTGCAAGAAGGCGTCTCAGGCGCTTCGAAAAGCCTACGCAATGGAAGACAAAGGGGGCACGATGACCCTTACACGTACGATCACTAGACTGCGCAGATGTGTTGCAGCAGTGTTTTTGCACTGCGCTCATTCGCAACCTCATCATTGACCTTTGGCTACCGCGGCAGCAATCGCTCTCACCTCGGAGTCTGACTCGCACCCTTCCTGCCGCGCAATGCAGCGGCCTCAGGATACCTGTGTGAGTCGTGCGAGGTAATGCGGCGAGCGCTCAGAACTGGGACTGACCAGGGAGAGTGAGTGCGCAGTGCGGTCTTGCCAGCGGGCAGCAGCTTGCGGTTATCCGAGCGAGGCTCGAAGAGGACCACGTGCTGGCAGGATGATGGCGCAAAATGCATGCTGCGCTGGGGCGAGGCAGGACCACGGTCGAGGGGCACAACAAAGAGAAAGGTCGCGCCCGATCTGCCCGCCTCGGGGAACGACCCTAGCGTCGGACCGCCTGGTCGCACGCCACGAAAATATACACAGGCACCTTCCGACGAGCTTTGCGTGCACCTTCAGGGAGGGTGGCGGTGCAGAAAGTCGCTGGCCCTCAGTAGTGCTTTATGCATCGCCCGCCGATGCACTGTTGACGTCGGCGACACATCGCCGCCGTCTGCGCTGCGAAAACTGGTCTCCGCATCGAGCCGCAACGAGCCGCATCGCCGATGCGGCGCGATCCTCCGACCCCACCTGCTCTGACCCCATCAGAGAGGCCTAGGAGCAGGCCAGGGCCCCCAGGGACGCGCCCAAGTGGACGACGCCGACACCACGGCAACACCACGGCAAACCCTGCGCCCCGCGCCCCAAGTAGACGCGGCCGGCACCGCAGCAAACCCGACGCGGCCAACCCGCCGCGCCCGAGGTGGAGCTTGCCCGCATGCCCGCGGCGCCCTCCCCAAGGCGCCAGGCCGCGCGTCGGAACAGACGGCGCGGCGACACGTCGGGGCCCCTCCCCCAAAGAGCAACAGCAGGGGCCTCCCAGATGGGGTCCGAGCAGCTGGGGTCGGAGGAGCTCGCCGCGTCGCCCGCGTCGCCGATACATCGGCGATGCATCGCCGATGCACCGGCGATGCATCGGCGATGCCTTGGCGACGTGGGGCGATGCCTCGGCGACGTGGGCGTGGAGAAACTGGGGCCCCACATCGAGATGCATCGCCGATGCATCGGCGATGCGGCGCGATCCTCCGACCCCGTCTACCCCGACCCCATCTAGGAGGCCTAGAATGAGGTCGGGCGTGTCCTCCGACAGGCGGATCTTGCAAGAAAAACAGAAGATAGCCAAACATATTCAGACATAGTTAACAAACTCATAGAAAAATCGTCCCTGACTGTTTTTGAAAATTCCTCCTGTAGGCCTGTAGAGGGGCACGCCCGCCTTAAATCGGGGAGGCCTAGAAGCAGGCGGGTGGCGCCGAAGAGGAGGTGGGCCGGCGGCGTGCGCGTGGACCAAATGGGGCCGGGGAGCGCGCATGGAAACGAGAAGAGGCGCCACGAGATCGGGGGAGAGACCATTGCCCCCGCCCTGAGATCCCCCCCCCCCTTGGCCCTCACCCCCCTCCTGGCCGCCCCGGAAAGCAGGCGGGTGGCGCCGGCGAGGGGCGGCGCGGCGGGCGCGCGGCGCCCGCGAGCGAGAAGCTGCCCCAGGCGCCCCGGCAGGCCGTCGGCGAGGCAGTCCCCGGCCTCCCCGGCCTGATGCGCCTGCGGGCGCCATGCCGCGGCACAGGGCGCTGTCCACGGAAGGCTCCCAGGGGCACACAAAGAGACACACACACAAAGCCCATGATCCCCCAAATTCCCCAATCGGTGCTTGCACTGAAGGGGTCCTGTACCCTATAGCGGATATTCCCCAATCAGCGCTTGCACTGAAGGGGTCCTAGCGGCAGTTGGAAGATTTGGCGAACGTTTCCCGCCGATTTTGGTAGCAAACTGGGTTCCCGGGTTCTCGGTTTCCCGGTTATTGGTTCCGGGCCGATTTCGGTGGGTTCTGAAAGATCTGACGAGACTTTCCTGCCGATTTTGGTAGCCAGCTGGGTTCCTGGGCTCCCGGTTCCCAGGTTCCTGATAATTGGTTCTGGGCCGATTCCGGGGAGTTCCGGGTTCCCGGGTCCCGAATTTCCTGGTCGATCTCCTTATCGATCTCTTTATCGATCCAATGTCAAACCACCCACTAGTTGGGGTTTCGGTGCAATTTTCGAATAGTTCCTGGGTTTTTGCCTCCTCCCCACTTGCCATATTTTCCAATCTTTTCCTGGGAATCGACGACCAATTGTGTCTGCGTGCTTTTCCCCTTCCCCATTTACTTTAGACTAAGGCAAGCTCGCTTGCTTGACATTCGCCGCCTCCCCCCCCCCCCTCTAAGGCCCTACGCTGCCGGGAAAAGTTATAACAACATCAACAAGACGATCGTCCTGAATGATCTGCGGACGGCAACGCCCAAAGAGGATCATTTGGGGACATTCGCCTTTCAATGCTGGCAGCGTGCGCAGGCGTGCACCATGGGCCAGGTCATTGACATTACATGTTTTGTCTTGGGCGCCCGGTGGCGACATGGGGAGGCGGACGCCACTTAATGCCCGGGTGTTCTTCCAAATTGACACTTGACACGGCCGCTGGCGTGGGCGGTTCCACATTTTGCCGTGCGACTTTGTTCCCACAATCAAGTAGTCAACGTGCGCCGCGCAATGCAGACGAGACGCTCTTCCGTAACATTGACAGGCGGATGTCATTTCATGCGACGGGCCCCGCCTGGTCTGAATCATTATCGTTTCGGCTTCCATCCCTGTGTCACTTTTGTTATAATTTTTTGTCACGGGGATGGGCAAATCTGCCTAAGTTTTGGGTTTCCGCGAGGTCCCCTCTCGTCTATTAGCGTGCCGCCCTGCGAGTCCTGTGGGACGCGTGAGACTCGTGCCCCTGTGGGACTTGTGCGACTTGTAGGACCTGCGCGACATGCGAGACCTGGGCGACTTGCGGGATCGGTGGGTCTTGCGGGACCTGTGCGACCTGTGCGACCTGCCTGCGGGACCTGTAGGGATTGTGGGAGCCGTGGGGCCTCTGTGACCTGTGGGAGTTGTGGAACCTGTGGGGCCTGCGAGACCTGTGGGACCTGCGTGACCTGTGGGGCTTGTGAGACTTGTGCTGCCTGTGAGGCCTCGGTGACCTGTGGGGCTGACGAGACCAATTCGACCTGTGGTTTGGACGCCCGAAATGGGTCCGGAAAGAATGGGTACAATGCTCAACAGCAAATGTTGTCCCCAACCAACAGCGGCCGCTGTTGGGCAGGCGGCCTCCTGTCTCGAATGGAGACAGGCCGCGGCGACACCGACAGCGAGTCCTGTTCAAAATGAGCAGGAACTGCTGTTGGGCATCGTACCCATTCTTTCCGTGCCCATGTCGGGCGTCCAGATGTGGGGCGTTGTCCAACAATCCGCGTTGACGATCCGGCGGCGGGCGGGTTCTATAATGTAAGTTCATACACGGGATGCAATTTAGGTTGCCCGGCAATCCCGCTTAAAGATCGGGCGGGTGCGGGTTTCGTGTGTAAATTCGTACCCAAAACGCATTTCGCGTAAAGTGGCGTGCCCCGGCGTGCCCACTTTACGATCCCCCCCCCCCGAGTTTGGTGCGTGGAAAGAAAGGGGGGCGGGAAACATCCACGTAAAGTGGGATTTTTAAAAGGGGTTCGAATAATGTTTTCTTTTTCTAGATTCAAACAGTTCCACTTTACGATGGATGTTTCCGTCATATTTTTCACACACGAAACGCTGAAACGCCAGATCGTAAAGTGGGCGCGCCATGGCACGCCACTTTACGCGAAATGCGTTCCGTGTGTGATTTTAAACACTAAACTTGCCACCGCCCGATCGTTAAGTGGAGTCCCTGGGCAACGGGACGTGCGTCCCGTACATGAGTTTACACAGTGAACCTGAAGCCGCTCGCATCCAATCGTTAATTAAGTCGCTTCGCCAAACATCGGAAATTTGCCACCATGAGCGATGAGCGGATTTTCACAGTGAGCCCGCTCCCGCCCAAAAGGGCGTCCGACAACGACTGGCGGCTTCTGGGTCCCCCGCGCAGCCGCTTTTGCCAAGAACGGCGGACGACGACGACGACCACGGCGACGTCGACACGACGACGATGGCGACCACGACGACAGCGACGACGACGACGACGACGACGACGACGACGACGACGACGACGACGACGACGACGACGACGACGACGACGACTACGACAACGACGGGGGCCATAGCGACCACGACGAAAACGACATGCGTTCTCGCCACATCGCCGGCCACTGCTTACCTCTCGCTCTTTTGCCGAGACACCATCAGCATCCTCACTCGCCTCCTCCTCCTCCTCCTAATCCTCCTGCTCCTCCCCCTTCTCATTTTCCTCCTCCTTCGCATCTTCATGTTCTTTGCCCTCGCTTTCCCCGCTTGCCCTCCCAGGGAAGCCACGACAAAGCACGGCAGCCGTCCGGACATCATTTCATTTATCATGGATCGCGCGCTTCTCACTCCATCTGCCCGAACGCCACAGGGCATAGGGCAATTGCCGCCAGAACAGGCGCTCGTGTAGACTGACCTTGTAGATCTTGGCACAAAACTGACTCGAGAGATCTCGAGGCTCGTGGCTACAACTTGCCTGCGCAAGAGAGGTCCTTGGCCGTTCTGGCCAAGAAACCTGTCTGAACTGGTGCGAATCCCACAGCCCTGCCACACGCTCGTTATTGCGGAAGCTGATATGGTGAGATGGTGAGACCACCATGGCCATGCTCAGCGTTTTTGATGCTGTTGCTAGTCAGCACGAGATGATAGCAACTTCGATTCGCAACTTCCCCCGTGGATTATCAAATTCGGCCTCCGCGCCCCTCTCCACAATTGGATCCTATTGAATCGGGATAAAAAATAAAGGGGGGAAAAGGGGGGTATGTTTTATTATCCGGGGCACGGGGTTAGGAGGTCGACCACAAGAACCCTTCCACAAGAAACCCATCCCTGAGACCCCAGGACATCCCTTGACTTCTGGTGTGGGAACGTCACGCTTTCCAAAGCGAAACCGTGGAAACCCAACCAAAGAAACCCAGAGCACCCTGGAGGCAAGCTGGGTGTTTCTTGGCATGGGCTTCCACTGCAGGTCAAAGGGGGGGGACTGGCTCAAGGGGGAAGACCTGGCTCTGGAGTCGGAGATGCACCCCCGACAGTTCGGCAATGGGCCCTCGAAAGCGACTCCGCACGCGCCTGGTCGCGGTGGGATCATCGGGCCCCAATCGCCGATCAGTGGGTCACTCGGAGTCGATGCGCCCTCCCCGGAACCTATCCCCCCTGACGCTGCCCCTCGCTTTCGGGTCATGACACCCCCCCAACGTCCTCGGCGAGGCGCAGCCGCTGGAAGGCACCCCGAGAACCGACGAAAACGTCCTCGGCCGTTCGGGACGATCCACACACCCCGGAACGCCCTCGGCGAGCTGCGGAAGCACCGAGAACCGTTGAAAACATCCGGTCAATCCCCGAACGTTGCCCCTAACGTTGCCCCTGAGTCCAGCCCCTGTTGCCAAAGCCCTGATGCCACCGATCCGATACTGCTGCCGCTTCTCGCGCCGCCGCTGCTGCTGCTGCTGCTGCTGCTGCTCCTCCTCCTCCTCCTCTGCTCCTCCTCCTCCTCCTCCTCCTCCTCCTCCTCCTCCTCCTCCTACTCTGCTCCTCCTCCTCTTCCTTCTCCTCCTCCACCTCCTCCTCCGCCTCCTCCTCCTCTTCCTCCTACGCGGCAGAGTGGAGCCCTCCTCGAAGCTCCCACCGTCAAGCAGCTCGTCGTCCAGCTTCTCGGCGGCCTCAGACAGCCCACCGGCCGTACAAAGCAACCAGCTGGAGGCCTCCCAGGTGAGTTCCGAATAGATGGGGTCAGAGGATCGCGCCGCACCGCCAATGCATCTCCGATGCATCGCCGACGCATCGGCGACGTTGGCGATGCATCGGCGCCGTCGGCGTCGGTGATGCATCGGCGATGCGGTACGATCCTCCGACCCCATTCACTCGGACCCCAGTCGGGAGGCCTGGATCAATAGAAGCATGCCGAAATAGGCACGCACGCATCATGCATACTACGGTCAGGATCTTTTGCTGAGCGCGTCGCGGCGGCGGCCCAAGCGACACGGCATGCCTTGCAAACGGATAGCGTGTTGCTCTGATCCGCGGGGCGGGAGGCTGGGAAGAGCTCGTGACGGTGACTCCCTGGGGACGGGGACGTGGCTAGCATTCCGCGCCGAGGCGTGGTGAAACAGAACCGGCGGCGCGATACGCTAAGCAAGAGTGCCTCATGGTACTGGCCACTCCTGGATTGCTATGACGCATACAGTGGAGGGTAGTCCACAAGAAGCCTTCCACGCGAAACCCAACCCTGAGACCCCACGACGCCCGTTGAGATCTGGTGTGGGAGCGTCGCGCTCTGCATCGCAAAACCATCGAAACCCAGGCCACCCTGGAGGCAAGCAGGGTGTTTCTTGGCATAGGCCTCCACTGTGTGGTATGCTGCCTTCGATTCCTCTTCTCTTCTCGGGGAAGCCGTGAGGTCCGGCCCAGGGCCCGCGGCCTGGCCATCAGCAGCTCGCCTAAGGCACAGCCAGGGGCCCTGCTGGGCGAGGTCCCGTACTCAGCGGGGGCCCGCGACGGAGCCCAGGCCCTTAGGTCGTAGCATCCTGAGCTCGGCACCGCCATCCTTGGGCCAAATATGGCGGTGCCGTGTGCCCATCCTGAAGTACGACCGTCATCCCCGAGAGTGGCCGCGATCCCTGGGCACTCGCCATCCCCAGTTACTCGGCACGGTACCTCCATAGCGAAGTCGACCGCCATGCCAGGGCGGTCGTGTCCTCGTCGTCGACCTTCGAATCTTGCCACCGCCGGGGGCCCTGGCCTTGGCAAGATCAAGAGAACGACGACGACGACGACGAAGACGAGGACCAGCGCGCAGAGGGGGGAATGAACGACGAGGCGACAGGAGAAAGGGCACTAGACGTTCTACGCCCCTCCTCTGCCTCGCGCCAGGCGGCCCCAAGGGTGCAACAAGACGCCCCAGCATTGCAGGAATCGGCGTCTGCGGCGGCTTCTGTCTGCCCTCTGCAGACACATGCGCTCTGAGGGCGCACCTGCCCTCGAAACATGAACCTACAGAGCACTTTGGCCTTGCCTCCGACGCCGCCTCGTTAAAGTGCCGTGGCTACATGCCTCTTTGGAAGCCTATCTTAGTCAAGGTGTTGGCAACTTGGCGGCAAATAGCAGCAAATAGTGGCAGATAGCGGCAACCGATGAGTGGCAAATAGCGGCACGAGCGCCGCGCCAAACGTCGAGCAATCACCCCCTATTCGCCGCCAGTGGCCGCAATAAGCGCAACAAAAAAAAAACGTCGGCGGAATTCAGAGGCTTCCATCAAACAGACCTAAACGTGGGCCCCCGAGTGGGCGCTCTCAACCCCTTCCCCAGGGACTGGCCTTCAATCCTAATGACGGCTCGTGTGGGAAAGTTAGCATACAGCATCGATCTCTGAAGAGCGCACTGCAGCCAAAGCTCGTATACTAAGAATGCGCAGTGAAGATGCGAGGGCCTCGGAATACCGTGTCGACACTTTGCGAGAGGGGCGCAACCAGCGAAGTCGGTCAAGGATGGGCCGAAGGAGAAGGTTGCAAGGGTACCCTTGGGAAGGTTGCCCACCCTATGCCGGTTGACTGTATACCAGTGAGGCGATCCCCCACTCGAGGGCCCCTTCTGTGCACGTCATCCCTTAGAGGCCTCCTTGAGAGGGTTCGAGGAGATGGGGTCGGAGGATTGCACCGAATCACCGATGCATCGGCGATGCATCGGCGACGTCGGCGATGCATCGGCGGCGTCGGCGCGGAGGAGCTCGGGCTCCACATCGAGCTGCATCGCCGATGCGTCGGCGTTGTGCCGGCGATGCGGCGAGATGCCCTCCGACCATATGCCGGTGCCGAGGCTACGCCACCTCCCCGCGGCCAGCCGCAGACTGCTACTCGACGGCGTTGGCCCTCCGAAGGCGACCTGCGCCGCAGGCGCGGCTCTCCCCCCGCGAGCGGCGAGCATGCCCGCGCCCGCGCCCTCGCGGGCCTGGCCTCCGGGCCGCGACCCTGCGGACACGCGGCCGCACGCATGCGCTCCCTGAGAGCCTGGCGTTGCAGTCTCTTCGAGCCGGGCTTCTCCTCCGCCCGGCTTCAGGCTCTGGAGCCCCCGCAGACTCGCCATCGCTCGGTCGTCCATTTCCCGTGCCTTTGTCGGTTGCGTGCGTGCTGTTTTTTGCCAGAGGATCCAGGGTTTTCCTCGATGGTCCCCGCCGAGAGAAAATGCTCACGTCCGAGCGATGCCAAGCAGATCGATCCGGCGCGAGGAATGAAGCAGAAAGATGGGGTCTGGGGCCCCAGTCGTGTTTCTTGCGATGCTTCAAACTTTTCCGCAATGCTGGATCTCTGGGTTCCGCGCGGGGCATCCGTGAACAGGAACGCTCCGTAGCAGCGGGGTCGCGGCCAAGGAGTTTTTGACTCGCGAGGCCGCGGGTATACGGATAGGTGTTTTTTCCGCCGACGGCCCTGTTCGGGAGCACGCCAGCTAGAGCAGGTGGCGACATCGCCCCCCCCCCCCACGCCAACTATCTCTTCTCAATCGACGGTTGACAGATATTTGGGCACATTCTCCGCTGACACTTGGGGGTCCCAGGGTGCCCCCGGAGCCTCCGTGGGCCCCTCCGAGGCCGTCGGGGGAGAAACACATTCGGAATGGGGCGGTCGGGCTGGGGCCCGGGCCAGGGCAAGCCGGGGCCGGGGCCGGGGCCGGGCCGAGGCCAGGGCCGGAAGCAGGGCCCACGCCAGGGCGAGAGCTGTGGCCTATGTTTGAGCTCGGTTTGAGCTTGGTCTGAGCTCGGTTTGAGCTCTGCTGGAGTTGCATGTGAGCTGTGTTGGAGCTTTGTGATAGCTTTGGCTGAGATTTATTATTTGAAATGTGCCTGAGCTTTGTTCGAGCTTCATTTGAAGGTCGTTCGAGCTTGGTGTGGGATTAGTGTGAGCTTTGTTTCAGCTGTCGTTGAGCTTGGTTTGAGACTTGTATGAGCTTTGTTTCAGCTTTCGTTGAGCGTTGTGTTAGCTCTGTCGGAGCTCGAACTTCAACGTTGGTTGAACTTTGCTTGAGCTTTACTGGTGCTTTCTTGGAACTTTGGTTGAGCTTTGTTTGAGCGTTGTGTAAGCTTTGCTTGGGCTTTCGATGAGCTTTGTTCGAGTTGTGCTTGACATGTGTTCGAGCGTTGTTGGAGCTTTATATGAACGTTGTTTGAACTGTCTTTGAGCTTTGTCAAAGCTTTGTTTGCAATTTACTTGAGCTTTGTATTAGCTTTGCTGGAGCTGTGCTTGAGCTTTCTTCAAGCTTTGTTTGACCATTGTTTGACCTCTGTTGAAGCTTTGTCTGTGAGTTGTTTGAACTGTGGTTGAGTTTGCTTGAATTGCGTTTGAGCCTGAATTGAGCTTTGCTGGAAAGTTGCTCAAGATGTGTTTGAGCTTGTTATATTTGAGCTGTGGTTGAGATTTGTTTGAACTTTGTCTGAGCTTTGAGTGAGCCTCGTTGGAGCTTTGTTTTAGCTTTGCTTGGGCTTGCGACGACGACGATGGAAACGGCGGCGACGAGGAAGGCGATTGCGACGGCGCACGGGCAGACATTAAATGCAACCTTCAATGTGTGAGAGGACAAGGCTGGGGGGGGGGGAACCTCAACCACCGAAAGCGCCGGTCGAGCGGGCCGAACATTAAATGACCACTTCGCTCTGTGATGGAGCGTCATCATCATCGTCATCATCAGCACCAGCGTCATCATCATAATCATCATCATCACCATAGACCATCATCACCACCATCATCATCGTCGTCGGCATCATCGCCTCCATCATCATCGTCATCACTATCGTCATCATAACCAACAGTATCATCATCGCCACCATCACCATCATCATCACCATCATCATCATCAGCATCATCATCATCACTGTCATCATAATCATCCATTTTATCCTCACCATCACCATCATCAGCATCACCACCATCATCATCAACACCATAATCATAGTCATCATCGCTGGCAACCCAGGACGGCCTCAGAGGCCCTCCATAGGGGCCCAGGGAGGGGGCCAGGCACCTGTGCGATAAGGGCGACGTCACGCGCCACCATTCGAAATGCGCCTCTCCTGCCTCACTTGCCCCATTTGCCCCGCCAGCACGCGCGGGCTCGAGCTTTGTTTGAGCTTTGTTGGAGTTGGGGCTTCGTTTGGCATTTTTTGAAGCTTTGCTGGAGCCTTGATTGAACTTTGTTGCGGCTTCATTTGAGCATTGTTTGAGCTTTGTTTGAGCCTTGTCCCACCCCCCTGGTCCCATTGGGAGGGGAGCCGACACCCTGGGTTCGAACCAAATGGGGGGGGGTCCCTCTCCCCCGCCCCTGGTTTGAACCGGGCGGGGATGGAGGGGGCTTGTCCCCCTTCCTGCCTTCCCGCCCCCGATCCGTCCCAACCCGAAAGGGAAAGCCCCCCCGCCTTCCCCCCGCCCCAGTTTCGGGGGGAGGGGAGGCATTTTCCCCCCCCCGCCCCCCCCCCTGGTTCGGTGAGCTTGCCAGTGACAGTAGAAACCGCTCTTTCTCCTCGAGGGACAGCCAAAAGGACATGACCATAAATTTTGGGAGGGCCGCGCGGATTCCTTGGATCGGCGCTGGCCTCTCTTCCCGGGTGGGCGGAGCGCGCCAGGGGCGGCGCTGGAGGCGCCGCCAGGGGGCTCTCCAGGGCCGATCCAATAGTTGATGCTTATCAGAGAGAGGGGGCCCAATGGTCCTTCACTGCCCTTTGGTGCGTGGCCCAAGTGACCCACCCGCGACCCGCCCGCGACCCACGCGCAACCCACCCGCGACCTACCCTGCGACCCACCCTGGGACCCACCCTGCTACTCGCCCGCGACACGCCCGCGACCCACCCCGCGCCAGCGTCCTCACTCTCATCCGCAACTGCGGGGTGCTGCATAGGCCATTCTGTCCGTGGGGGCCGCCCAGCACGGCGCAGGGACTGGGCGCGCGCGTGCGCGCAGCCGGCGCTCGCGCACGGCCGGGAGCCGCGGCCTCGGACAGGTCCGCGTCGGTCAGCACCCTCTTCGACAGCACCTCCACGTCGTGGCCGGGGACGAGGTCGGGGTTGATCGCCACGCGCGTCACCTGGCACCAACGGGGGGATGGGTGGAGGGTGAAGCGGGGGAAGGGGGAGGGTGGGGAGGACCAGGCGGGGAGGAGCTCGAGGAGCAGAGAAGGAAGCAGGATGGGGTCGATGGGCACAGGGGAGGAGCGGGGAAGGATGGAAAACGGGGACGAGGCGGAGCAGACGGAGGAAACGGAGACGGGGAGATGCGGAGGGGGAGAGGGCAGAGGAGGAGCAGCAGGAGGCGGAGGAGGAGCAGCAGGGGGAGAGGAGGGGGGCGGGGAGGAGGAGGCGGGACGAGGTGGAGGACGAGGCCGAGGACGAGCAGCGGGCCCAGGGCGGGGAGGGGGAGGAGAAAGGGGAGGGGGCTGGAGAAGGGAAGAGCGAAGCACGAGGAGAAGACGTGCATGATGGATCCGCAAGAGAGGCGCAAGATGACGGGGATAGACCGAGCGCCTGCTCCCGCTTCAGCCGGAACCGCTGCATCTGCCGGTGCACGGCCGCGGACTTGTCCGCCATGATCCTCTCCAACGCCTGCAGCGTTCGTTCGGGGGGCCAGGCTTCCGCCAGGAGGTGGAATCCGAGGAGGACGCTCTGCAAGATGGAGATTGGATTAGGCTGGTGCGGGTTGGTCTGTCCGCTTTCGGCGGCACGTTGACCACGAGGATCCTGGCCACTCCGTCTTGGACGTGGACGAGAAGTTCGTAGGCCAGTTGGACGGCCGCTACTCGCTGCCTTGGCTGTCCTTGCCTGCAGCTGCCTCTCGCTAGTTTCCACATGGCTGACGCCCCTGGCTTGTGTGCCCGCATGGCTTGTCAAAGGAAAAGGGGACGCTCAGATGACCCGCAGTCTGTTTAAAAAGGCAGTGGGGCCTGCCTTCTAATCAATGGGGGCGTAGGCTGGAGGGTAGTAGAAGCTAGACCTCTTCCTCGCCGAACTTAATTGGAAACGCGGGACTGGTCAGATCAGCTCGACCGCACGCCTTTAGCACCTCAGCCGGCTCTGAGCACTCTGAGCTGCGTGTATGCCCCAATCCAGGCACAGAAGCGAATCATGTCTGGTTAATAACTTGGCGGCGAGCGAGGGGGCGAAGTGAGAAGGGGCGGGGCTTCTCGGAAGGCTCGGAAATCCCCCGGCCTTCTGGGAAGTTTTCTAAGCCTTCCCCGAAGACACAACAAACTGTTCAGAAGGCGCGAGGGCTTCTGAGAAGTCCCGCCGCCTTCTGAGAAGGCCTTCTCCTCATCACTTCCCCCCATCGCTCGCCGCCGAAAAGCTGTGCTCCTACATTATTCCATCTCGCACGGCTCGAGTGGCGGGCCGCCTCGCGCACGTTATATATATATATATATATATATATATATATATATATATATATATATATATACTAGAACCACGCGCGCGCTTCGCGCGCGCTTAGGTTCTGTCGAGTCACAGACCCAGGAATCGTTGTGAGAAGAAATTGGTGACGCGAAGCGTCGTGGGGGCGTCCTTGGACGTCTGGGGTCTCCTGGGGCCTCTTGAGGGGCCTCCTGGGGGCCTCCTGGCGGCCTCTTGGGGCGGAAGGCTCGAGCTTGCGGTTCGTGGTCCCCCTCTGGGCCCCCTCTTGGGCCCGTCTTGGGGCCCTCTTGGGCCATCTTGGGCGCCTCTTGGGCCGTCTTGGGGCCCTCTTGGGCTGTCCTGGGGCCCTCTTGGAAGCTTCTTGGGCCGTCTTGGGGCGGTCTTGGGCGCCTCTTGGGCCGTCCTGTAACGTCGGAAAGCCCAAAAGACAACTTTGTTGAACATGTACGTTTTACGAAGGGAATGGGCCAACTTTTGCGTCTGGGGGCCCTCTTGGGACGCATGTTGGAGGCTTCTTGGGGCGTCTTGGGGGCGTCCTTGGACGTCTGGGGTCTCCTGGGGCCTCTTGAGGGGCCTCCTGGGGGCCTCCTGGCGGCCTCTTGGGGCGGAAGGCTCGAGCTTGCGGTTCGTGGTCCCCCTCTGGGCCCCCTCTTGGGCCCGTCTTGGGGCCCTCTTGGGCCATCTTGGGCGCCTCTTGGGCCGTCTTGGGGCCCTCTTGGGCTGTCCTGGGGCCCTCTTGGAAGCTTCTTGGGCCGTCTTGGGGCGGTCTTGGGCGCCTCTTGGGCCGTCCTGTAACGTCGGAAAGCCCAAAAGACAACTTTGTTGAAAATGTACGTTTTACGAAGGGAATGGGCCAATTTTTGCATCTAGGGGCCCTCTTGGGACGCATGTTGGAGGCTTCTTGGGGCCTCTTGGGGGCGTCCTTGGACGTCTGGGGTCTCCTGGGGCCTCTTGAGGGGCCTCCTGGGGGCCTCCTGGCGGCCTCTTGGGGCGGAAGGCTCGAGCTTGCGGTTCGTGGTCCCCCTCTGGGCCCCCTCTTGGGCCCGTCTTGGGGCCCTCTTGGGCCATCTTGGGCGCCTCTTGGGCCGTCTTGGGGCCCTCTTGGGCTGTCCTGGGGCCCTCTGGGAAACTTCTTGGGCGTCTTGGGGCGGTCTTGGGCGCCTCTTGGGCCGTCCTGTAACGTCGGAAAGCCCAAAAGGCGACTTTGTTAAAAATGTACGTTTTACGAAGGGAATGGGCCAATTCTTGCGTCTAGGGGCCCTCTTGGGACGCATGTTGGAGGCTTCTTGGAGCCTCTTGGGGGCGTCCTTGGACGTCTGGGGTCTCCTGGGGCCTCTTGAGGGGCCTCCTGGGGGCCTCCTGGCGGCCTCTTGGGGCGGAAGGCTCGAGCTTGCGGTTCGTGGTCCCCCTCTGGGCCCCCTCTTGGGCCCGTCTTGGGGCCCTCTTGGGCCATCTTGGGCGCCTCTTGGGCCGTTTGGGGCCCTCTTGGGCTGTCCTGGGGCACTCTTGGGAGCTTCTTGGCCCGTCTTGGGGCGGTCTTGGGCGCCTCTTGGGCCGTCCTGTAATGTCGGAAAGCCCAAAAGGCAACTTTGTGAAAAATGTACGTTTTACGAAGGGAATGGGCCAATTTTTGCGTCTAGGGGCCCTCTTGGGACGCATGTTGGAGGCTTCTTGGGGCGTCTTGGGGGGCGTCCTTGGACGTCTGGAGGCCATCTTCAGCATCTCGGAGCCCTCTTGGAGGCCTCTTGGAAGTTTCTTGGGCCGTCTTGGGCGTTTCTGGGGCCGTCTTGTCTGACCGGGGAGGCCTCCGGCAAGCCCCGACGAGCCTCCGGGCCCCCCGGGGTGCACATTTGCGGTCGAGGTCCCGGCCCCGGGCCCCCGGACCCGGTGCGCCGTTATATGTATATATAACACCATCGCAGCAGAGCGCAGCGGCAAGACGGGGGAAGGGCAGACGGTTGCGACGGCGACGACGGCGACGACGAGGGTGAGGAGGGGGGCAACGCCCCGCGCCCACGCGGCCCCGCGCCGGCTGCGGGCCGCCTCGCGCACATCCCGTCTTGAATACAGCCGAGGCGTTGACCCAAGAAACCCTAAATAAAGAACGAGGCCCCTATTGTCCAGAAGTTAAACTTCGATTCCGTGTCGAAAACCCAAGGAAGATCTGAGGCAAGCTGCGAAACAATTCAGGAACACGGAGCCCCTCCCCAACCAAAAGGGTTCCTTCTTCAGGGCCCCGTCGTGAATAGCAGGCGCGCGGGCCTGCGGCAGACTGCGCCTGCAGCCGTGCTGCCATAAGAGAAGCGCTGGAGGAGGACCTCTCTTCTGCCCGCGGCGAGCCCCGGCCACGCCAAGGTTCCTCCCCGACGGTGGACCCAGGGAACGGCCCAACAGCCAGAGCCCCTCGGGGACCCTAAATGGTCCTTCATCACGGCGTCTTGAACGAATCTTGCCCATCGAACAAATAAGGGAAAACAAACCTACCTCGCTTTTGACCACCCTCGCTTCCAAGAGATACCAAACGATGCCAAATTGCAGCCTGCACTGGTCAGGCCGCTTGACGAGGAGGCGTGTGGTATGGCTTGGTTTTGCCTGGAAGCAAAAGCGGGGTAGGTAATTCACGCTCTGAACAAAAGCGCGCTGTGCGGCACGGACCAGGTACCCGTTCCTTCTTGTCCGCAGCTGCGGGGGGGACAAGTATTCAGGTGCGCCGCTGGAGGGTACTTCTTCACGAAATCCTGCGCATCCTTGCCCAACTTGACATCATCCTCCTCATCCTCCTCGTCATCATCATCATCAGCATCATCATCATCATCATCATCATCATCATCATCATCATCATCATCATCATCACCACTCCCACCACCACCACCATTATCATCATCATCATCATCATCATCATCATCATCATCATCATCATCATCATCACCATCACCATCACCATCACCATCATCATCATCATCATCATCATCATCATCATCATCATCATCATCATCATCATCATCATCCCCTCCCCCTCCTCCTCCTCCCTCACTTCGTCCCCCCACCTCCCCCTCCCCCCTCCTCCCCTCCCCCATCCGCCTCCCACACCCTTCCCTCTCTCCTTCGCTCTCCTCCGTCCTCCCCCTCCTCGCCCTCGCTCCCTCCCTAGCCTGCGTGCATGGCGCCCGGGGCCTCCCTCGCGGTTCCGTGGCCCTCCTGGTCTCGACGGGGCGACGGCCACAACCGAGGCCGCCTGTCACGAGCCGAGCCTCCCTCCCCCCCTCCCGGCCGCTCGAGTAGGCGCCCGTGGCGGAAACAGCCGGGAAGCTCAGGCCCGGGCGTTCTCCTTGTGGCCGACGGCCGGCTTTCCCGCTGCGCGGGGGGGGGGGGGCGACGGCGGGGGGCTGGGCGGGGAGCGGGCGAGCGTGGGGGACTGCAGCAGGTCCTTTCGACAGCTAGAGGCCTCATCGATGGGGTCGGCGCAGATGGGGCCGGGGATCGCGCCGCGTCGCCGATACATCGGCGATTCACCGGCGATACATCGTCGACGCCGAGTGAAGCAAATCGGGCTCCACATCGAGCGGCATCGCCGATACATCGGCTATGCGGCGTGATCCTCCGACCCCATCTACTCCGACACCATCTAGGAGGCCTAGAACACTACATCTTGCTACGTGTCGTGGGCACCTGTCTCGTCGATCAGGCCAGCCGCCGAAGGCGTGGCCCGTCCGGGAATGATAAGACACTTCCATGGGCCACCTGCTGGCAGGCTGGCTTCTCAATCGGCGGCCTGCTGTAAGCGCGGCGGCGCCGTGCAAGGCGGCCTTCGTCCGTCGACGCTCAGGGGGGCGAGGATGCGCGCTGCAAGAACCGTGAGTTGCCCAACTCACAATTCGCTCGCCCGACGCTCGTCACTGTGATGCCTGGTGCTCGACCTCCGCAGGCCCTTGCCACTCAGCGTGCGCGCATGCTGTTGTCTCTGACTGCGAATGCTTCGCACGGTGCTGGTCCGCACATTCACAGCAATCACTCGTATCGTGCTCATGGGCGACGGACGACCCAAGGCCGACTCGTACTTGGCAAGGCGGCCAGGGCACTCATGATGTCATCTCCTCGACGTCAAGCTGCTCTCAAGACACAGAACGCCTCAACTGTGTTCCAGCCTCTGCCCAGCGCCTTGTCAGCCACACCAATGATCCAAGGCTGAAGCGCCTGGAATGAGAGCATCAGGCGTCACCCTGCGCAGATCCACTGGTAGAAGTGATGCAGAGCTGTCCACTCAGAAACAGGTGTGCCCAATTTCCCCATCCTCCCCTGATCGATCGGTCGAAGCGAATGGTATTGAAAATGGACTCCCAAACACGGCTACTTGGCAGTGCGTCAATCGACCGTCCCCTCGCACGCAGCGTCCCGACGCATAGCTCAGGGTAAGTGCCGATGGGGGAGGGCCCATGGCCAGCTACGCTGCGCAGGCTGGAATTGCCAACATTTAAAGATAGGAGGGAAGTAGACTGGTAGCAGATCTCGACCTCTCCGAATCAACGTAGCCGTCGGGGGGGGGGGAAAAAAACAACCCAGGCCCCTGCCTGCCACTTCAAAAATACCCTATCCATGGAAAGAATGCTCCTGCGCCCTGGCGCTGACCATCAACCGTTCGTCCGGCCTCGTTTCCTCGGCTCGCCAGGGCGTATCAGCACCCACGCCCGCCGAGGAAACAGAACATGCCCTCTGGGTAGAAGTACATTCCCTGTTCCGATGCGGGCCCCCGATTCCAGGAGGCATCTGCTGGGGGCGCGACCTGCTGTGCGGGGCCGCCGTGCTGTGGACAGAGAGGCCCGCGGCCGATGCAGCAGCTCACCACTCGGCGCTGCAGATCGAAGCTTCACGGGGGCTCGGCGGCCAAGCTGTGCCTCCTGGGCGGGGCAAGAGGGCGTGCCAGGGCCAAACGCACCCTCTGCTCCTACATCCACCACCTGCTGTGGCCTCGAGGCCGTGAACAAAAATCCATGCCCGCGGCCTCGCGAGCCGGGCCCCTGGGCCGCGAGGCCCCATGGATACGTGGCACGTGGTGCCTTCTCGCGAATGCCCCGCGCGGAACGCATCAGTGCGACCGCGTAATTACGCACGGGCTCGCGACTCGGGATGCAGACCGCAATGGCGTGGCTGTGGATCTGTTCGCCGCTCGTGATGGTCCGTGCCCCTCTTCCACCAGTCAGCGTGAAGCTGGCGGCCGCTGCAGCGGCGATACAGCTGGGGTTGATTGAAGAGGACACGCGAGAGGACACAAGACCCTTCCGAGGGCCACATTGCCACAGGAATGTAGAAGGCATGGGTCGCGAAGCACAGCACACAAGGGTACCCTTTGATTTGGCAGGGTCGACCAATGAATCAACCTCGACGGTGGCCAAACAGAAGCAGCGGCGGCGGCAGTGTCATCTCGGGCCTTGGCTCTTGCTCGCTCCTCTCGCGGCTGCCGCCTGCGGCTTCTTGCCCTCGGGCTGGAGCAACGCCACGGCCTTGGTGGTAGCCGGCGCACCTCCGCAGCGGGAAGCCGAGGAAGGGATGTGTCGACCCCTATCCAAGGCTTCGTGGGTTTTTCGAACGGACCAGAAATCTAAGGCCCAACCCTGGGATACACGATAGGGGGGCGTCCATCCTCGATAAGGGGTGCGTCCTCATAGCCCCCTTGGGGTGAATCCCAGAGTTTCCTCCTTTTTCTGAGCTGCCAAACCCTTTCGGGCGGAACTCGGGGATTGGGGAAGAAAAACTGCCTGCGAAGGGGATCGGCCTGCTCGACCGTGCTGCCCAGAACAACTCTTGCTCGCACGGCGTGCCCATCAAACCAGGCATGGTCGGAGAAGGGATCGCTGGACGCAACCGAGTCCGTCCGCGAGACAAAATGTGGGATGCACCCGTGCGCTGTCTCCAGGCACGCGTCGGAGAGACCATCGGTGGACGCGACTCGCGGGGGTCCAATTTGCGAAGCGATGGCGGGAGGCCCCCGTGGCGCGTCTCTGAAGCAAGGCCGGGGGAGGCGCGCGCGAGCCAGCGTGCACTGAGCTCAGGCACCCGAGGGCGGGCCCGGAGGGCCGGCTGAGACGACGACGGCTCCCCCGCCCAGCCCAAGTCTCTGGTTGACCTGAAAGGGCGTCCAGCTGAAAGGGGGTGGTGCAATGGGTTTGGGTGAATTGTACTGCGAACTTTTCTTTTCTTTTTGCACGCACGATTTTTCTGCTCCCACCGCACGAGATTCGCTTTGTCTTCGTTTCCCAGAGCAAAATGACACCACAGATGAGGAAAAAGACGCGTCTCGAATGCAACCTCGTTGTTGCACCATACCGCGCACACCAAGCCCCGTATTGTATGCAAACGTATTGCAAACGTATTGCGACGGAGCGATGTATTGCAGTGTGTTGCAGGCAGTGTCTTGCACGCACAAATGAAGCAGTACATTTGCGCACCGACATGGATTGCACGCCCCGAATCTACTGCAACCCCGCAAGTGCATTGCAGCAGATCGATTGCACCACCCCCTTGTCGCTGGACCCCCTGTTCGGTCCACCAGACCTCCGACGGGCCGCCGCGCTGGCGTGAGAAATCCCCCAACGCGGGCGAAGACCACCTTCTCTGGAACCAACTCACAAAGCGGTGCGCGGACAGGAGCTGGCCCGCCTCTGTCCCTTCTCTCCTTCGAGGAGTAGGAGGAGGAGGAGGAGGAGGAGGAGGAGGAGGAGGAGGAGGAGGAGGAGGAGGAGACAGGAGGCCAGGGGCCGCGCGGCGACTCCTCCACCGACGCCCCGCGCGGCGCAACAGCGCGCTCCGAGACACCTCTGCGCTCTGCGGCGCGTTCGGTCCACCAGTCGGCCCGGCAACCGGCGGGACGCAATCCGTGGCGCACTGAGGCACCAAGGGGGCGCGCGGAAGCACGAGAGCGCTGCCCCCCGCTCCTCGGGAGGCCCACCGGGGGCGGACAGGGGAGCGGAGGCGAGCGAACCAGCGAGGGTTTGGAGGGAAGGGAGAGGGAGAGGGAGAGGCACAGAGGGAGAGAGCGAGCCAGAAGGAGGGTCGTTGGGCGCAAAGTACCAAGGGGACGAGACATGGGGGGGGGAAGAAATGGCGCCCTCCTCGGGCCCTCGAAGCCCCCCCCCCCCCTCTCTTGGACCCTGAAGAGCCCCTTTTCGGCAGCCCTCGCTGCCCCGCATTTCACAGCCCCCCACTGGCGTCCTCCACGAGCGGGGGATGACCAGGCGGCCGGCGCAGGGCGCCATGGAAGCCACAAGTTGACACACCCGCCAGGTCCGCAACAAAGAACCGCAGAGAGAGTGCGAGAATGACACGCGCGTCTCCCTCCTCCCGCGAGGTGGCGGCACCGCCACGAAGGATACAAAGGGACGCGAGCTCCAACCCTCCTGAAGAACAACTGGACGGATCGACTCAGCAGCCTGTCTCCTCCTCCCCGATCCAAAGTTTGAGGGGCAACGATCGGTGGGGACTGGGACAGAGGGGGGATGCCTCGACCTGGAATCGGCGACGCATCGTCGATAAATCCACGATAGCCCTCCGACAGCACAACCGCACCCTCCTGGGCGGGGTGGGGCTATCAGGTCCCTATCGGCGATCCATGGACGATTGGGGGTCGATGCATCCCCCTTATGCCAATCCCCCTATCGTTACCCACGAAAGTTGGCTCTTGACGGGACCGATGCCGCGCTGGGGGCTTCAGTGCAACACTGGGCGGGGGAGGGGGGCGCGCACCGATGCAAGAAGGCGAGCCCATGCCAAGGCAGCCCCTCCCTGTGAAGACTGCAGTGCGAGCCCCAAGCGCTCCCTGAAACCCATGGCCACTTTCGTCGAGCTGTTCCTCTGGAGCGTGGCACTGTTCAGCGACGAGCGCGCGGCTGGAGGTGAAAAGGAGAAGGCCTTCTCAGAGGGCGGCGAGAAATGTTCTGTCTTCGGGGGAGGCCCGCCCCTTCTCACTTCCCCCGCCCCCGGCTTGGCGCCGAAGTGCGATCAAACAAAACCTCTTGGGCAACGACTCATACATGCTTGCGCGACCCAAGATCGCCGGAGCTGGGGCAGAGCCGGGCGAGCCTGTCCCGCCCGAGATGGCACAACGCCTGGAGCAGGACAGGCACGGTGACAAGGAAACCTTGGATAAGGAATCCAGGGTCTGAAAGCCAGTGGAACACCAACTGAGGCTCGTCCACGGATATCACCGCCGCCCTCATCAGATAAGGGTTCCTCTAAGGTCTGAAATCTCGTGGGCCCTTTCCTTCACGAACGCCCCCGCCGTAGGCACTGGAACTGGGCGGCAGCCAGCCACCCCACTTCGCGCTTCGCACTGCGTGGATGAGCGTCGTTTAGCCGATCCCCACCCCCGCTGGCATGGCCTTGGCCCCAGTGGCCGACTTTCCCTGGTGGAGGAGGAGGAGGAGTAGGAGGAGGAAGAAAAAGAGGAGGAGGAGGAGGAGGAGGAGAAGGAGGAGGGGGATGATGATGATGATGATGATGATGATGATGATGATGATGATGATGATGATGATGATGATGATGATGATGGTGATGATGATGATAATGAGGAGGATGATGATGATGAGGATGATGATTATGATGATGCTGATGTTGGTGCTGATGCTGATGATGATGCTGATGATGATGATGATGATGATGAGGAGGAGGAGGAGGAGGAGGATGAGGAGGGGGGGGGGAAAGGGAGGAGGAGAAGGAGGAGGGGGAGGAGGACGGTGCTGAGCGGGGCGCCCTGCCCTGTGGGCCCTCGCGCACTTGCGCCGCCACCCTGGAGGATGGGCAGCATTAAGAGAACGGACCGCGAGGCGAGCTGCGCGATGATCCTCGTGCCCCTGCGGGCGACCCACGAGACTCCTCCTCCTCATCCTCCTCCTCCTCCCTCCTCCTCCTCCTCCTCTTCCTCCTCCTCCTCCTCCTCCTCCTCCTCCTCCTCCTCCCAGGCGCGGCTGCAGGCGCAGCCAGTGGCGGGGCGCCTTCGGGAGCGGTCGTGGTCGGTCCCCGCTTGGAAGTTAGCCGCGCCAGCGGCTGGTGCGTCGAGGGCCGCCTCAGCAACCTGCTGTCCAGTGTCGTCGGGCTGTTCCAGCTCTTCTGGCGGGGGGGGGGGGGGCAAGCGGTACCAGGGCAAGGGAGACCGATGGAAGCAGGTGGAAACGAAGTGGGCAAAGAGATAGGAGTGTGCGCTCGTCGAAATCCAAAGTGGAACAAGACGAGGACGAAGTCAGAATACAACTGCTTCAAGATACGTCCCCAGCGTTTTGCAAAGCTTAGCGACCCTCGTGTCTGGAGACCGTGCGGACCAGTAGGATTAGGTCGGGCATGTCCCCTTACAGGCGGATTTTGGACGACAAAGTCACACATACCTAGAACAGATTCCAAACATGCTCAACAGTAGTAAACAACTTGTACCCGCACGATTTTCTACTATTTTGGAATACTCCCCCCTGTAGAGGGACATGCCCGACTTACCAGTAGGCGACCCTGGACATCTACGAGCATATCGTCATCATGACTTCCTGCTCCATACAAGCGTGAGCAAGCTTCGCTCGAAAAGCCTGGCCCTGTAAATCCACAGCAGCAAACTCCAGACGTGCCGCTCGGCCGGCAAGGCAAAACCGTGGGCGGCTGAGGATATAGCACATCACCAGGAGCTCGATCCGATACCATCTTCGCATAAGCCCGCTTGGACTGCGAACGCGATCTGGATCGCAACCTGTG